GGAGATGGTTAGGTGATGGGTAGGTTTAGGGGTGGAGATGGTTAGATGATGCGTAGGTTTAGGGGTGGAGATTGGTGGGTTTAGGGGTGGAGATGGGTGGGTTTAGGGGAGGAGATGGGTGGGTTTAGGGGTGGAGATGGTTAGATGATGGGTAGGTTTAGGGGTGGAGATTGGTGGGTTTAGGGGTGGAGATGGGTGGGTTTAGGGGAGGAGATGGGTGGGTTTAGGGGTGGAGATGGTTAGATGATGGGTAGGTTTAGGGGTGGAGATTGGTGGGTTTAGGGGTGGAGATGGGTGGGTTTAGTGGTGGTGATGGGTAGGTTTAGGGGTGGAGATGATTGGTTTACGGTTGGAGATGGGTTAGGGTTAGGTTAGGGGGTGGAGATGGGTGGATTTAGGGGTGGAGATGAGTAGGTTTAGGGGTGGAGATGGGTGGGTTTAGGGATCAGGGGGTGGAGACGTGTAGGTTTAGGTATATTTAAGGTGGGAGGAGTTGGATCTGGATCTAACCAGGCCCCCTGGATATTGTGCTCTGCAGTGAGGAACATCTCCAGATGTTTGATACTTTATCTATATCATTGTATTTCATGCACTTTCTGTCATCTATTATTTGGATAGTTCAGGCAAAAATGTAATTCTTTCATCATTTACCTAACCCTATCCCTCATGTTACTGATTGACTACAGTGGAAGTCAATGGGGCCCAAAGTTGTTTGGTGCCCATCATTCTTCAAAATATCTCCTTTTGTATTCCGCAGAACGGCAGAAAAATGTTATTCTGATTTTAAACAACATAAAGCTGAATAACTCATGACGGAATTTTTTTTTTTGGTGGGGTGTTTTTTTTTTTTGTGGGAATAACCTACTTTTTAATTAAGTAGTTATTTGCATTTACAATATATTGGCATTAATTACAGTGTGTCTGTCTTCAGGCTTCTGGATGTCATTGCAGGACGGAAAGATCCTAAGGGCTTAAAATCAGGCCAGGTTCTAGTTGACAACACCATTGTGACCTCTGACCTCAGACTCTGCTCTGCCTATGTAGTTCAGGTGGGGGAACAACACTCTCTTTGTCCTTTACAAAAGACATATTACAAAAAATGTATACTACTACTGTACAAAGCTTTGGTAAGATTTTTTTTATGTTTTATGCTCTATAAATATTATATACTCTTTATATAGAATAGAGTTATATTATAACATTATGTAGACTTTATTTTCTATAAGGCTGCATTTATTCAATCAAAAATACAGCAAAAATAATAATATTGTGAAATATTATTACAATTTCAAATAACTGTTTTCTTATTGAATATATTTTAAAATGTAATTTATTCCTGTGATTAATACATTTTCAGAATCATTACTCCAGTCTTCAGTGCCACATGATCCTTCAAAAATCATTCTAATATTCTGATTTGCTGCTCGTTAAACATTTCTGATTATTATCATTGTTGAAAACAGTGTTGCTTTATTTTTTGAACATACTGTGATGAATGCAAAGTTCAGCATTTATTTGAAATAATCTTTACTTTGTCTTTACTGTCACTTTTGATCAATTTAATACATCCTTGCTGAATACAATTAGTATAAATAATTTCTTTAAACAAAAACAATCTTACTGACCCCACATTTTTGAATAGTAGTATGTATTGTTTTATCTTACATAGTAGTGATCGAATAAGAATTGCTCTCACTTTCAACATTTGATATGTTATCTATATTCTATTGTGAATAAAATATAAGTTTATGAGATTTGTAAATTATTTAATTCCTTTTTTACTCACAATTTGTACAGTGTCCCAACTTTTTTGGAATTGGGTTTGTAGATGATTGAAAATTAATATGATGAAATCATGCATTATTTCTTTTCTTTCACCTTCCAGAATGACATTCTGATGGGTACTCTGACCGTAAGAGAGAACTTGGCATTCTCTGCCAATCTCCGCTTGTCACGCAAAGAGTATTCCTCAGCTGACAAACAGATGAGGGTCGACTCCGTCATCCAGGAGCTTGGCCTGAAAGATTGCGCAGATACTAAGGTAATGCACTGAAGAGGAATGCTGAAAATGATTTGTTGTGTTGGTATGAACAAAACATCCTCACAGTGTGTGTGTGTTGAATGATTTCTGAAGGATCATGTGACACTGAAGACTGGAATAATTTAGTGTTTTTGGTCAAATAAATGTGGCCTTGGTGAGACTTCTTTCAAAAACATAAAAAATATGAATTATGCTACATAATAAATATATTAAAGAGAACAATTTCCCAATAAGCAGTAGTGGAGGCAGAATGTATTGTTGCAATACATCATTTGGAGTCATGCTGTTGGTACTTTACCAATTTCTTTTCTTTTTTTAATTTTGGTAACTGCGTTTTTGGACTACTCTTGTTAACCATCTGTGTTTGTGTGTTTGTAGAGATGTGTAGCAACAACGATGAGATGGTGGAGAATGAAAACCCTCTGGCGGTAATTTACAGAAAGTCCCCTCATTTCCTCAATGTAAAAGACAGACTCACTCAGATTTCAGATGGGCTTGACCCTGAGGTCACTAAAGATGACAGGGTTGGGTACGCCACACCTTTCTATTACCAGGTATGTAGAAGCAATGGTTTAATTAAGCTAACGTTGACTCATTAGATAGGTAAGCAGGAATAACATCAATAGATGACCTCTGTGCATGGGTGATGAGGGTATGTCCATGTTGCAGCTCATGCTGGTGAGTGGCCGCACCGTAAGACACATCTTGAGGAATCCTCAGACGTCTTATGCCCAACTGTTCCTCAACATTTTCTTTGGTATTTTAGTGGGACTGATCTACTACCAGATCCCACACACTTTACCAGAGGCTCTTCAGAACAGGTGAGCACCTGCTTACATATTTCATTGGGTCCTAAATTACCTTTCTGCCACAAGTTTCATTTTAAATTCATAGTGTGGAAATTAAAGGGTTAATTCACCCAAAAAGGAAAATTCTGTCTTTAATTACTCAGCCTCATGTCGTTCCAAACCTGTAAGACCTCCGTTCATCTTCGGAACACAAATTAAGATATTTTTGATAAATTCAGAGATCTCTGACTCTCTCATAGATAGCAAGGATTCTTACACTTTTGTTACTCAGGCTCTCCAAAAAGGGTAAGACTGTCATCTTCTCCATTCACCAGCCACGCTACTCCATCTTCAGCCAGTTTGACCACCTCACACTCATGAATAAAGGAGAAATCATCTACGCAGGGGCCGCCAACAAAGCCATTACCTACTTTGAGGAGTTGGGTACTGACAGACATACTTCGTTCAAATGAAGATCAGCAGTGATCTGCTAAATCAATGCATGTGTACTGTGATTCTCAACCCTGTGCCCGTGTGTCGTAGGTTACAAGTGTGAGCCATTCAACAACCCGGCAGACTTCTTCCTGGACGTCACAAACGGAACCGTCCTTCCTCAAATACACAACAATAAATCAGGTGCTGAATGTTTTATTATTTGAATGAAATTAATACTTTTTTTCAGCAAGGACACAGTCAATTGATGTGACAGTAAAGACATGTCTAATGCTACAAAAGATTTCTCTTTCAAATAAAATGATTTGGAATTTTCAATTTATCAAAGAAAAAAAAAAAGGTTTTAAGCAACACAACTGTTTTCAATACTAGTGATAATAATAAGAAATGTTTCTTGAGCAGCAAATCAGCATATTAGAATGATTTCTGAAGGATCATGTGACACTGAAGACTGGAATAATTTAGTGTTTTTGGTCAAATAAATGTGGCCTTGGTGAGACTTCTTTCAAAAACATAAAAAATATGAATTATGCTACATAATAAATATATTAAAGAGAACAATTTCCCAATAAGCAGTAGTGGAGGCAGAATGTATTGTTGCAATACATCATTTGGAGTCATGCTGTTGGTACTTTACCAATTTCTTTTCTTTTTTTTAATTTTGGTAACTGCGTTTTTGGACTTCTCTTGTTAACCATCTGTGTTTGTGTGTTTGTAGAGATGTGTAGCAACAGCGATGAGATGGTGGAGAATGAAAACCCTCTGGCGGTAATTTACAGAAAGTCCCCTCATTTCCTCAATGTAAAAGACAGACTCACTCAGATTTCAGATGGGCTTGACCCTGAGGTCACTAAAGATGACAGGGTTGGGTACGCCACACCTTTCTATTACCAGGTATGTAGAAGCAATGGTTTAATTAAGCTAACGTTGGCTCATTAGATAGGTAAGCAGGAATAACATCAATAGATGACCTCTGTGCATGGGTGATGAGGGTATGTCCATGTTGCAGCTCATGCTGGTGAGTGGCCGCACCGTAAGACACATCTTGAGGAATCCTCAGACGTCTTATGCCCAACTGTTCCTCAACATTTTCTTTGGTATTTTAGTGGGACTGATCTACTACCAGATCCCACACACTTTACCAGAGGCTCTTCAGAACAGGTGAGCACCTGCTTACATATTTCATTGGGTCCTAAATTACCTTTCTGCCACAAGTTTCATTTTAAATTCATAGTGTGGAAATTAAAGGGTTAATTCACCCAAAAAGGAAAATTCTGTCTTTAATTACTCAGCCTCATGTCGTTCCAAACCTGTAAGACCTCCGTTCATCTTCGGAACACAAATTAAGATATTTTTGATAAATTCAGAGATCTCTGACTCTCTCATAGATAGCAAGGATTCTTACACGATCAAGGCTCAGAAACATAGCAAGGAGATTGGTAAAATAATCCATGTGACATCAGAGGTTCAACCGTAATTTTACGAAGCTATACGAGAACACTTTTTGTGCGAAAAAGAAAAAAAAATAGATTTTTTTTTTTCGTGTCCCGCTGCTGGCACAGAACAGCATACGCAGTTTACGTTCAGTTTGATTTTCTCCAAAAGGGCGCTACGGTGACGCGGAGGAGACGAATTGTTGAACAAAGTCATTATTATTATTTTTTCCGCACAAAAAGTATTCTCGTAGCTTCGTAAAATTACGGTTGAACCCCTGATGTCACTTGGATTATTTTACCAATCTCCTTGCTACGTTTCTGAGCCTTGATCGTGTAAGAATCCTTGCTATCTATGAGAGAGTCAGAGATCTCTGAATTTATCAAAAATATCTTAATTTGTGTTCCGAAGATGAACGGAGGTCTTACGGGTTTGGAACGAGGGGTGAGTTATAAATGACAGAATTTTCATTTTTGGATGAACTATCCCTTCAAGGAATGTGAATGGAAAATGAGGTCAGAAAAATTAAAAAGCTATAATATACAAAATATTTTAAAAAAATCTAAATATATATGTATGTATGTATATGTTTGCACATGTAATTTTCATCATATATTTTGATATATAATTTGATACATCAGGCTTTTATGGCTCATATAGTATGATATAGGATCTTATACTCTAGGTGGAGGCTCAAACTAAAATATTAAATTTGATATAGTTGCTAATATTTATATGGCCCAAAAGTAGCTGAAATTCTGATTGCCTTGTGAATCAGTGAGATTTTTATAATATTATATACAGTGGTGTGAAAAAGTGTTGGCCCCCTTCCTGATTTCTAATTTTTTTGCATGTTTGTCACACTTTAATGTTTCAGACTGCATGTTGTGTTCACTTGTGTTATCTTTGACTAATATTTAAAAAAATGTTATGATCTGAAACATTAAAGTGTGACAAACATGCAAAAAAAAAAAAAGAAAGCAGGAAGGGGGCCAACACTTTTTCACACCACTGTATAACATGCTACTTACAAAAAATACATATACATATCAGTTCTGTGGTTTTATGATCAAACTCTGTAGTTTTTATTGTGGAAGCAAAACATAACGCAATGCAATAAAATCATATTATTTATGATTTATGATATATACAAAAATATTTAGACATTCTTGTAATTTTGACTTTATTCTCAAAATACTTTGACTTTATTCTTGTAATTTTGACTTTATTCTCAAAATATTTCGACATTCTTGACTGAATGATGAACAAATAAAGGTTCCTCTAAAGCTAACTATATAACTATATTAAAGATATTCTTTTTGACATATATTTTTATCTTTTTTGTTTACTTTATAAAAAAAACAACTGATTTATATATATATATATATATATATATATATATATTTGCTTTATTCTCAAAATACTTTGACTTTATTCTTGTAATTTTGACTTTATTCTCAAAATACTTTGACTTTATTCTTGTAATTTTGACTTTATTCTCAAAATACTTTGACTTTATTCTTGTAATTTTGACTTTATTCTCAAAATACTTTGACTTTATTCTTGTAATTTTGACTTTATTCTCAAAATACTTTGACTTTATTCTTGTAATTTTGACTTTATTCTCAAAATACTTTGACTTTATTCTTGTAATTTTGACTTTATTCTCAAAATACTTTGACTTTATTCTTGTAATTTTGACTTTATTCTCAAAATACTTTGACTTTATTCTTGTAATTTTGACTTTATTCTCAAAATACTTTGACTTTATTCTTGTAATTTTGACTTTATTCTCAAAATACTTTGACTTTATTCTTGTAATTTTGACTTTATTCTCAAAATACTTTGACTTTATTCTTGTAATTTTGACTTTATTCTCAAAATACTTTGACTTTATTCTTGTAATTTTGACTTTATTCTCAAAATACTTTGACTTTATTCTTGTAATTTTGACTTTATTCTCAAAATACTTTGACTTTATTCTTGTAATTTTGACTTTATTCTCAAAATACTTTGACTTTATTCTTGTAATTTTGACTTTATTCTCAAAATACTTTGACTTTATTCTTGTAATTTTGACTTTATTCTCAAAATACTTTGACTTTATTCTTGTAATTTTGACTTTATTCTCAAAATACTTTGACTTTATTCTTGTAATTTTGACTTTATTCTCAAAATACTTTGACTTTATTCTTGTAATTTTGACTTTATTCTCAAAATACTTTGACTTTATTCTTGTAATTTTGACTTTATTCTCAAAATACTTTGACTTTATTCTTGTAATTTTGACTTTATTCTCAAAATACTTTGACTTTATTCTTGTAATTTTGACTTTATTCTCAAAATACTTTGACTTTATTCTTGTAATTTTGACTTTATTCTCAAAATACTTTGACTTTATTCTTGTAATTTTGACTTTATTCTCAAAATACTTTGACTTTATTCTTGTAATTTTGACTTTATTCTCAAAATACTTTGACTTTATTCTTGTAATTTTGACTTTATTCTCAAAATACTTTGACTTTATTCTTGTAATTTTGACTTTATTCTCAAAATACTTTGACTTTATTCTTGTAATTTTGACTTTATTCTCAAAATACTTTGACTTTATTCTTGTAATTTTGACTTTATTCTCAAAATACTTTGACTTTATTCTTGTAATTTTGACTTTATTCTCAAAATACTTTGACTTTATTCTTGTAATTTTGACTTTATTCTCAAAATACTTTGACTTTATTCTTGTAATTTTGACTTTATTCTCAAAATACTTTGACTTTATTCTTGTAATTTTGACTTTATTCTCAAAATACTTTGACTTTATTCTTGTAATTTTGACTTTATTCTCAAAATACTTTGACTTTATTCTTGTAATTTTGACTTTATTCTCAAAATACTTTGACTTTATTCTTGTAATTTTGACTTTATTCTCAAAATACTTTGACTTTATTCTTGTAATTTTGACTTTATTCTCAAAATACTTTGACTTTATTCTTGTAATTTTGACTTTATTCTCAAAATACTTTGACTTTATTCTTGTAATTTTGACTTTATTCTCAAAATACTTTGACTTTATTCTTGTAATTTTGACTTTATTCTCAAAATACTTTGACTTTATTCTTGTAATTTTGACTTTATTCTCAAAATACTTTGACTTTATTCTTGTAATTTTGACTTTATTCTCAAAATACTTTGACTTTATTCTTGTAATTTTGACTTTATTCTCAAAATACTTTGACTTTATTCTTGTAATTTTGACTTTATTCTCAAAATACTTTGACTTTATTCTTGTAATTTTGACTTTATTCTCAAAATACTTTGACTTTATTCTTGTAATTTTGACTTTATTCTCAAAATACTTTGACTTTATTCTTGTAATTTTGACTTTATTCTCAAAATACTTTGACTTTATTCTTGTAATTTTGACTTTATTCTCAAAATACTTTGACTTTATTCTTGTAATTTTGACTTTATTCTCAAAATACTTTGACTTTATTCTTGTAATTTTGACTTTATTCTCAAAATACTTTGACTTTATTCTTGTAATTTTGACTTTATTCTCAAAATACTTTGACTTTATTCTTGTAATTTTGACTTTATTCTCAAAATACTTTGACTTTATTCTTGTAATTTTGACTTTATTCTCAAAATACTTTGACTTTATTCTTGTAATTTTGACTTTATTCTCAAAATACTTTGACTTTATTCTTGTAATTTTGACTTTATTCTCAAAATACTTTGACTTTATTCTTGTAATTTTGACTTTATTCTCAAAATACTTTGACTTTATTCTTGTAATTTTGACTTTATTCTCAAAATACTTTGACTTTATTCTTGTAATTTTGACTTTATTCTCAAAATACTTTGACTTTATTCTTGTAATTTTGACTTTATTCTCAAAATACTTTGACTTTATTCTTGTAATTTTGACTTTATTCTCAAAATACTTTGACTTTATTCTTGTAATTTTGACTTTATTCTCAAAATACTTTGACTTTATTCTTGTAATTTTGACTTTATTCTCAAAATATTTCGACATTCTTGACTGAATGATGAACAAATAAAGGTTCCTCTAAAGCTAACTATATAACTATATTAAAGATATTCTTTTTGACATATATTTTTATCTTTTTTGTTTACTTTATAAAAAAAACAACTGATTTATATATATATATATATATATATATATATATTTGCTGCCTCTTTTCTCTTCAGAACGGGAGCTTTCTTTTTCCTAGTCATTAACATGGTGTTTGGCAATCTGTCTGCGGTGGAGCTCTTCATCAGCGAGAGAGTGCTCTTCATGTGAGTCGACCTCCAAACACGAGCTTTCCAGCCTGCTGTTCCTATTTGATAAAGACCACCTTCACATGTTCCTCTCACCTGCAGCCATGAGAACTCGAGTGGTTTCTACCGCACCTCTGTCTACTTCCTGTCCAAAGTGTTTGCTGACCTCATACCAAACCGCATCCTCCCCGTCTTCATCTTTTCTGCCATCCCGTACTTCATGATGGGTGAGTAGAGTCACTCTCTTCTTCTTTCAGGAAGACATTTTAGGAAGCATCGTACGTATCCTTGTCCACAAACACAATCCCATAGTGCACTGAAAAGATCCAAGATGGTGCATGAAGCAAGAGAAGTGTGTTCATTCACTGTTACTTTATTAGTGGAGGAATGTAAGGAATAGTGAATGAGGGTGCCATTATGGTGGCAGTTGCTCACTGTTATTGTGTTACAAATGACACATAAATCACATGAATAACCATTTACAGCCCTTTGTTGTGGGTTTTTGCTGTACCTACATTACACTGTTTCAGTGAGCTTCATCTCTATTTGTGGCTCAGGCCTGAAGCCTGATGTGGAGGCGTTCTTCCTGTACTGTGTGACCATGAGTATGATCAGTCTGTCAGCGGTGAGCTTGGCCTTCCTGATCAGCGCCAGTGTGGGCTCCTTCGCCATGGCTAACATCCTCATCGCACTGCCTTATGTTGTAATGATGGTGAGTTTAGCCGAACAGAAGATTTACAGACATGTAGATTGTTTGCTTTGTTCTAAAAAATTTTTTAAAAACACTTGCATTTTCTCATTGGTCCGGTTCACTTTTGTAATGTTTGAAAACGGACCAAAATGATATTACTTACCAAAATTCTGATTATTTTACAGCATGATTGCAGATGCCTAAACTACGACGACGTTTTAGCGCCACGTCAAAAAAGTAAAAAACTAAATCTAAAATTACGAGATTAAAGTCGTAATATTTTGAGAATACAGTGGAAAATTTTCTCCTGGTGCTCCCCATTTGCATGTGCAATAGGCTATAGAATGTACTCTCAAAATATTATAACTTTAATCTCCTAATTGTTACAAATGAATCCTTAATTCGTAATTTTGACTTTATTCTCAAAATATTTCGACATTCTTGTAATTTTGACTTTATTCTCAAAATACTTTGACTTTATTCTTGTAATTTTGACTTTATTCTCAAAATACTTTGACTTTATTCTTGTAATTTTGACTATTCTCAAAATACTTTGACTTTATTCTTGTAATTTTGACTTTGTTCTCAAAATATTTCGACATTCTTGTAATTTTGACTTTATTCTCAAAATACTTTCTTTATTCTCAAAATATTTCGACATTCTTGTAATTACTTGGGGCTTTTGGCAGAACCAGGTAGCTCTGACAGGCATTATGTGCGTGTGTCTGCTGCTTACTTATGTGCAGCTGCGTCGGATCAGTCGCTGGAAGTGAAGGAATGAGTTTTTCATTTTGAACCCTTTGCATCATGAAATCATATATGTACAGAGAAGTGTGTCAGCCATACACAGAATCCACAGCTCACTACCTCAGTTACTTCAAATCGGCTACCTCTGAAACTACCTGTGGCATAAAGTATGCAATTGTTTGAAATTTTGTAAAGGTTTCATTTTATATAAAAGTTGTAAACTGAATACAGATGTAAACCTTAAAACGATTGCATTTAGTTTATTGCCAAACAACTACAATACACTTACAAATAAAAAATTAAGTTTAAGAATTATTGCAAAACATTCAAAGTGAAGGGAGATTGATGTGATTACAGGATCAACAACTCTGAGAATGATGCAGAGTTAACAGGAATCACAATGAAATGGCACTAGCAACAGATCTTCTCACAGTGACCTACTGAGCAAAAAAGGGTTTTATACGATGATTCACAAAGCTTGACACACCCATTATTTTTAAGATTTTCTCCTAAATCGTTGTTCATGTTATAAGTTTTGATGTTTTGTGATTACGGGCCCTGATCTTAAGGATTCCTGTTGAAATTACTGAATTTAGACAGTCTCACAGACTGCAACTTAAGAGGCAGGTTAAGCAAACTAATTGATTAGAAAAGTCCAGTTTACGTCACCAGAAAGACATTGAAAATTACAAGGTCAAAAAACAGTTTTATGCTCAAGTTTCATACACTACAAATAATAATAAACGCATCAAATTATATTTTAACTTTCAGAGCTTATCAATTGACAGGGGTTTGAAAAACTTCTGAAACCACGGAGAATGGGGTTGAAGTTGATTTTATTTTAAATTAAAAAAAACAAAAACAAAAGGCTCAGTCTGAACAGTGTGAAGCACAAGGATAAAATCTGACATTTAGGTAGCAGTGACCGATCAATCAGTGACGGCCATCAGTTAGTGGGAACAAATGAAGAATGTCAACATCACTGCCCCCTTCAGATCATTAATAGACAAAATGACAGTTAAAGAGAATTGACTTCCATTAGGACCAAAAGTGTCACCCATTAAAAACAAAGATTTAAATCACTGGCCTTGCAGGTGCATTTGCAGTTAAAGAGGGAGGCAGGGGTATTAGAGCATCCAAAGCATTTCATCTTCATTCTCAGGGGTCACCGACCACCTCTTCTGATAAAAGCACAATCTATTTCCATATGAACTCATGCTCTGTGCATATTTAAAGAAACCAATGTTGTACAACTAAGAATATTACTTCTAAAAACAAGTCCCCAAAATAGCGCCAAACAAAACAGTTTCAGTGCAAGTATTTCCCATATAACTACACCTGCCATTCCCAACCCCCTCAAAATACACACGTCCTTTCAGTAAAAGCTTTCTTTCCCCTGAAACAAGGCTGTTAAATTAGCTGACCGTTGTCACTTTTTAAAGAAAACCCAAATATTGATTTCACAACAGAAAAGCAGCTCTACAGCAATTCCCCTTTAGTTTCCGAAGATTGTGGAACGCTCTGCTCATTCTTTAGCTCCACACGTGACGCCTGCAGTGGTCCAAGGCCTACAACACAAACACAGAAGCTACATTTAAGTCACAGCCGGTTTCTGATGTGCAGTGCAACATTAGACAAAAATAAATAAATAATAAGAAGTCATCTTCTGTAACACCAGAAAGACAATACTCACGTTACAGCGAGAAGCGGTCTCCACATTCTTACACCAGTATGATGGTCCCCAGCTGCACTGCTCCAATCCCAGCAGCCTCTGCACTGCCTCAGGACATGCTCCCAGCTTCTGTACACACCAACAAACTCAGTCAGGGATCATCATTTGATCACATGATTTGAGCTGGAGAGTGAAGGGTAGATCTTACCATGCAGACAAAGTCAGGATCCAGCGTCTGGAGCAGCAGCTGCACCAGCAGAGGCTCATACTGCTCAATGAGCTGGTTACACTGCAGGAAGGAGAACACACTTAGACCGATACACTCCACCTATACGGCTACATTTCCTACAGGTATGGAGTGGTCAGATTCAGTCCAGTTCTAGGATTCAAGCCGTAAACTTGAGATTGATTGATGTAGGGATGCACGATGTGGGAGGAAAAGGAAATATTTTCTGCAACGTAAATATATAAATAGGGCTGCACAATTTAGCAAACATTTAAAGGGATAGTCCACCCAAAAATTAAAATGGTCATTAATTACGCACCCTCAATTCATAAGACCTTCGTTCATCTTTGGAACACAAATTAAGATGTTTTTGATGAAACCGGAGAGCTTTGACCCTCCATAGAGAGCAACGTAAAATCACCACGTTCAAGGCCCAGAAACGCATTTAAAAGCACAATTAAAATAGTCCATGTGACATCAGGGGTTCAACCGAAATTATGAAGCTATGAGAACACTTGCGCGCAAAAGAAAACAAAAATAGACTTTAATTCAACAATTCTTCGCCACGTCACCGTAGACGCTGTTAATGAGTACCACGATGAGTACTACGTTCTACATCAGCAGCGCCACACACATGCATCGTGGTACTTTTGATAATGGCGGCAGACTGACCCAGAAGAGAAGAAATCGTTGAATAAAGTCATGATTTTGGTTTTCTATGCACACAAAGTATTCTTGTACCTTCATAAAATTAAGTTTGAACCACTAATATCACATGGACTATTTTGACGATGTCCTTACTACCTTTCTGGGCCTTGAACGTGTCAGTTACATTGCGGTCTATGGAGGGTCAGAGAGCTCACAGATTCCATCAAAAATATCTTTACAGGGTTAGTTCACCCAAAAATGAAAATTCTGTCATTGATTACTTACCCTCGTGTTGTTCCAAACCCACAAGACCTTCGTTCATCTTCAGAACACAATTTAAGATATTTTTAATTAAATCTGAGGGCTCCGACCCTCCCATAGACAGCAAGGTAACTACCACGTTCAAGGTCCAGAAAAGTACCAAGATGATCGACAAAGTAGTCCGTGTGACATCAGTGGTTCTATTGTAAAGCCACAAAGCGCTGAGAATACTTTTTTTTGCTCAAAGAAAACTATAACGATTTTATTCCACATTTGTGTCTCGACTGCGTCACTTGTGGACGCGTGCTCACGGCATGTCATGAACACGCTTTGTCGTGAACTGAAAATCTTTACAGTTGAACCACTGATGTCACACGGACTACTTTGTCATCATCTTGGTACTTTTCCAGACCTTGAACGTGGTAGTTACCTTGACGTCTATGGGAGGGTCAGAGAGCCCTCTCATTAGTAATACTAATTAAATGACAGAATTTTCATTTTTGGGTGAACTATCCCTTTAACCAAACATTTTGCCTCATTACAAGTATGGGAAGATGGTTGACGCATGTTTTGTTCCTGAATGCATATTTAAATGACCCAAATGTGTTAGCAAATACAAATGTCACGCTGCATGTTGCTGGAAACAGCACAGTAGAATGTCTGCTGACAATCTAAATGAAATTAATACTTGTATTGTATTTGTTCTGTTGTTGGATGCATTAAAAACATGAAGAATGGGTGTCTGTTTACTGCAAGCGTGACCTACCTCATCTCTGACAGCATCAGGCAAGAAGTCGCAGACCTTTAGCACAGCCTCCTCGATCTCGGCCTGAGTGGCGTTCTGCTCCAGGATCCCGTCCACATAATGCACTGCCATCTTACACACATCACAGAAGCCACCCGCCTCAAATCGTTGCTTGTCCATTACAGCTGCAAGAATAAAGCATTACAAATGCATCACACATCTAGAAAGAGAGGAACAAATGGAACATACTGAAAACTAAAGTATTATCGGCACTTACAGACATGGCTGACCCCATTGCAGAGAGCAAGGAAAGAGCAGATGGTTTTTGGATCGGCCTCCTGCACAAGCAGTTCAATGATGGCCTGGCCGTAGGTATCAATCAGGTCCTTGCACTGAGCTGTGAGCGTGGAGGGTAAAATGTCACAGACTTTCTCCACAGCCTGCACAATCTCTTCCTGAAAAAAAAACAGTGTCAGCAAGCCTTTAACAGGAAATGTATAAAGGTGCAAATTCACATCAAGTACTCCAGAAAACTCAGAGCGTGCTGTTAGTACTATTAATATTGAAATACAGTGGAGTATTGTTTTTAATTCAAGCATTTCATAATGTGAAGCCGTTTCTGCACTGATGCAAGGCTTATTTTATCTAATAATGATGAATATTAGAGTTCGAGTGAATCGCATCACAACTGAAAAGAGAATCCAATGCAAGCTTTAATTTGCTGACTGGAAACACCAGGATGCATGCATTATCCCTTCATATTTATCTACTTTCTCTTCTCTGAATGGAGAAGGCCTTATTCCATCAGTCCCAGCTGCTGCCATGTTTGTCAATCTTTACATCTAATTGTTGATGAAAATCCACACATTTCAACAGATTGAGACCAGACTGGTCCTTACAGTTTTTACTGCCAATCAATGGAGAATCAATTATTGTACATGTGGCTTCTTACCTCAGATGTGTGATCCTGAACCATGTCCTCAATTTCCTTCATCACAAACTCACAGATGGCACACTGAGGAGAGTCACGTACTTGCACCAGAATCTATCCAAACAGAAGCACATGCATCAAGGAAACATGCATTTTTACGCAATTTCCTAACTAAAGCTTAGTTTGAATGCCATTTACAGCTGACTACATTTTAGAGTCATTACTTTCATCCTCCGCTTTGACAATGTAAATTAAAAGTAAAAATTTCCATTTCTTTATTTTCTCTTAAATGAACCGGTGACCCAAGTGTTGCACAAAGCCGTTTTAAATGCTCAAGTGTTAAACTACCAAAC